TGAACTCTAAACCATCCAAGAGCTTTTAGGTCCCCAAATCAAGCAATCAAACTTTCAAAAGCAAGTGCTATTTGAGACCAGCCTTCATTCAGGAACTTGTGTGATGTGCAATAAAGACAAACTGAGAGATCAGAGGAATAAAACATAACAGCATGCATGAGCAGAGATCAGATAAGAGAAGGGACTAGAACCCAGGAGACAAACTAGCAGCTTATCAAAGGGAGTCGTTACTGTTTATCATTAGATATACAGGCTGGTGCACTTTAACAAGAATGTAAACACAATATATAAAAACTAAGGAGGCCTTAAGGAAAAAATCCTCAGCTTACCTGTACCATCCCAAGTCTTAGGCAAACCTGCAGTAAAGCGAGTGTCTCAGTTCTCCAGGGTGGATTCAGCTTCATGCAAACCTGTCTAAAAGTGTTGCAATAAATGAGACTGAGCAAGGATCAAGAGATTTGTATCATTTTCTAAATACTAATAAGTTTATCAGCAAAATTCACTAAGCCCTTATTTTACCATAACAACCTTGGCTTTTCATATTATTCCAATCAAAGATATTGGATGGAATATTTGACAATAACAGTATTAGAAGATTTGAAGATCAATGGAATAATTTGGGTTTTTTAAAAAAACATTTCTAACATTAAAAAGGCTTTTAAGAGACCTATTTTTTATCTTTTTCTTTTTTTTTTTTCCATACCCCAGAAAGGAGAATGAAACCATACCAAAAAAACCCCTTTCATCTGGATGCTTTCTCTGTCAGTTTTTACATATTAGCAAGAGTTTCTCTAACAAAGGTGATGGACATAGTGCAAGTTTAGCTCAGACTGTCTAAGGCCCCAAAAAGTCTGCCAGCCTCTGCCCAGTGATTCATGGGGAGGCAGATCCAAGAGCAAGGACAAAGTAAGTGGATGTTGCCTACATGGTTCAGGGTAACTTCTCTCCCGAGCCACTGCGAAGGTAAACAGGGCTGTGCAAGCCATTTGAAAGCAGTCTGCCAGTGTTTGCAGCAAGGACCACTTCCTTAGCATAGCAGAAAGCTAATTTTAGAAGCTATTCCTGCTGGTTGACATCACTTGCCATAAATTTGTGTGTGACTCACTGTTGCTTCATCCCACTGATGGGAGCCAAGCTGCCTCTCCCTCCCTCAAAGCCCTCAGATCCGAGCTATGGGGCACAACAGCCTGGCTGTGAAGGCATAGCTGGATAGATGTTACATCATACATTTGGGTTCAGACCTGAAACTAGCATACAAGGATGTTGTCCCTCAAACTGAGACACGAGCTTTCAGGCTGCATTAGTTCAGTCACCTCACTTCCATTAGCTCTCTTCCCCCAGTTTGGTCAGTTTTCACTGTCTATTTTGCCCTGCTGCTGCCAGTGACAATGGAAATATTACAGTTAGGGGTCTTGGCTCCTACACAAAATCCTTTAACCTTTAAAAAAGCTGAGGCTGAGAGAAAGGTCTTTACCTCCCCACAGTACAAGACATTGAGGACAGATACCTGGTGACTCTCAAAAGTAAAAAAAAAATAATTAAATAACATATTAATAAACAGCAGCAAGTACCATCATCTTCAAAATAAGCTGTACCTTCAAGTTATTTTATGGAGGTAAAAATGCAGGGAACTGAAAATGCTGTACTTCTGAATGTGAGAACTCTCGAGGGATCTCAGAAGAACAAATGACAATCTGCATCTCGTTCCACTGCTGGAGCATCTTAGAAGAGCTCATGTTCAAGTTGCAATTGATTGCTTGGTCTTCAGATAGGCAAAACTTTGTAAAGTATGAAAAGTACAGAAAATGTAAAGACATTATCTGTAAAGACTGAGATAACCCAAGTGGCTTGTATGCTAGAAGTACATTTAAACCCCTTTGCTCCATTGCAAACCAAAAAAGGGCTAATTTAATGATCTTAAGTAAGGTTTTAAGCCTATTTCCAAGCTAAGACCTTCAAGATATCTGAAGAATGTAATCTCTTCTATATATGCTCTCTAAGCATGTCCTATGCAAGAAGTAGGGAGGATATAAAAAGTTCTTAATGCAAGTATCTACATAAGTAACACTGGTTTAGCTGAAAAACATTTAGAGATCAGTTTCCTTGGTCACTGTCCACTGTAATTAAATTTTTGAGACTATTTTTTTGCCAACTACAGCTCATAAATTATTGTGGTTAGGTTGGCCTAATTCCAGAATGTGAACAGACCTTTCATAAATAAAATACCACTGATGTCTTCACCCTAATTGTTCTGTAACTTTAGCTTCACATGTCCAGGAGTAGCTGTGCTAAAACACTGTAAATCAGTTTAGCAGTTCCATTCACGCATTGACAGACCCTGTGACAAACAGGATCACATTTCCTACCTAGACAGCCCCTGCTAAGCACTCAGTTTGAAAAGAGTAATTTGAACAGGCTCACATACAAAAATATATGATACCCTACAGAGGAAACTGTCATGCTGTTATTTCTGGTTCCATCCCTACAAGAATATATGATTCTGTTACATGGCTAAATGTTCCTTTTGTGGCCTAATTCACTGTAAAACCTCAGGAAAACAAAGTAAAAACACTAAACAATTAACAAAAGTAATGGCTATCTCATTCCTAGAAGAGGAAACAGGTCTCAGTGCAGCCCCCAGGTCTGCAGATGCAAACCCCATCCAGGAGATTACCTGTGCTCTCATCAGAGCATCTCTAGGTGCATGCAGAGCACGTTCTCCCATGCAGGATAGGAATGAGGTAGTGATGGGGGTAGGGTGTGTCTGTTCCAGGTACTCCAAATTTTGACTTTTATTTTCTTCTTTAGCATCAGTGTCTTTTGTCCACTTCTCAGTCTCCTGCTTCTCTCCAAAGAAAGAACAGCCATCCAGCATACAGTTGTTGTGCAGGATTCTTCCTTTAGTAAGTCAGCTTCAAATGTCTAATATACCTGAGCAGTGCTTACTCAAGGCTTATTAATTTATGGAGAAGCTCTAAACATGTTAATTTCTTTCTGCAACTAATTTTAACACACTTCAAATTTTACATTACAATTTACCACCACCACTGCAGAAAAACCCAAGAAACTAAACAAAACTCCTGTATCTGAATTTAATTACTTCTTAACAGGGGACTTCAAATATAGTTTAGTAAAAATGACACGAAAAAAAAAAGTTCACTGATGGGCAACTCCAAAACAGAAGGTGAAGAGTGAAGACTGCTTCTGGCAATATCACTGATATTTGGTTATTTTCAGTGACTTTTTGCAGATCATGAGCTACAGACACAGGGTTGCCACTCTGCTTCCTTTCCTGTATTACCTGACAAAGTAGCACAGGTCTAGTTCACCCTAGAGCCTGTGGCTGGCTGTGGACTGAAGCAAAGCTCAGCCCTGCTGCATGCAGGTGGACAACAGCACAGCTCTAGGGGTTTGGGTGCAGTACGAGACACGAAATGTACATACTAGATATTCACTTGACTAAGGCATAAATGTTCAAGAGCTGCTGAAAGGATGCAAAAAGATTTGACTGGTGGCTGTCTATGCAATCTTCAGTGTCTTTCACTGCAGGTGAGGGATAGGAACTGTTTCACCACTGTAAAGGAAACCCTGAGACTAAACACAAGTTGAAGGGCTTAATGGGGGCTGCGGAGAAGATGTTTCTCACTGGTGCCTACTGAGCACCCCACAGACCCTGCACAGAGTCATCCTGCTCCAGAACTGTCCCTTCTTCCCTTGTTCCTTCACCAATTTAACTAAGCAGCAATGTACCATGCCTCCAGCAATTCCGCCCTCATTGGTAGCCTTGCAGGGCTGATCCCAAACTTGCTCTATTTTTGGGTGCTCCTGCGTCATTACCAAGAGACCAAGCCTTCAAATAGTGCTTGTTTTTCTATATACATCCTTAATAGTGAATTCAGGTCATGCAATTATTTGTCTGTGATGTCACAGCTGCTAGCCTTCTTATGTCTAATTAGTCTAAACACAAACATCTTATTTTACACATTTAAATATCTCCTCAAAGAGGGAAAATGTCCCTGGCCATATTTTCATTAACTATTTAACATTGAAAATTACTTTGAATTTATAATAATTCAATATTATGTGGAATACTACAGCACTTGCTGAAGAGATTATGTTCAGTGTTAAAATACTGGGAACAGGGCACTGTCAGACACTTAGAGAATCACACAAAAATTATTTTTAGTTTTGTAGAGGCAAAAATGCAGTCCAGAAAACAAGCTGTTTCTGATGTCTTCTTCCATAGAGTTGGAAAATTCATCTCTTGTTCAGTATGAAGTCATTCAGGTAATTAACAACTTACCTGCTACTGCTTCCTACTTACCCAGTAAGTAACTTTAACCAAAGCAGATTCAAATATTTTTGTCTGAAAGATAAAACTGAGAGCAAAGACACCAAGCCACAATGTTTCCCCTTTGCTTGTTCCCACCAATCCTAAGAAAAATTATGGTTTATATGGATTCTGTGCTGCAATGTCTATGCCAGTGAGTTAGCTCACATGTGTGTTAGTTATCAGACTCTTCAGTGAGAATAAAAGTACTAACCCTAATAGGGTGCTGATATAAATCCTCACTATGGGAGCTCTGAATTCTAAAGCCAAGCTGGCTGGAGCTACGTTTTGTCAACATGAGCAGGAAATAATTTTTACTGTCTTGTTTTGTAGCCATTATACACATAATTTGCTGTGGTTTCTTTTTTCTTTATTCTCTCTCTCTTTGTGGCTTATAAAACACTTCAGTAATAGAGAAGTGTGAAAAAACTGATGAAAACCAGTCCTTATTCTCAAAGAATCGTCAGAGTCCCAGTTCACAGCCACACTGCCCCAAGGGTCATTCTCTTCATTGTCAAATATATGCCAAAGTACTGTTATCAGCAGTTATTTGCTTTGTGCAATATCTGAAGTCTCCAGGCATGGATGAAGACCTCACTGCTCTGTGACATATATGCCTGTGGAACTTTTTCTGCTAATGTTAGACTCCCTTCATGCTCAGGTAGGATATGTAGCACACAACATTGGGAATTCAGGTAATCTCTTTTTCTACCATTCATTAACTTACTTGGTTTTAGTGCTGATGGCTTTTCTTGATTTTGATGTGGAAATTTTCAAAACAATTGGCTTGCAGAATGACAGAAATGCTAATGATTTAAAAATATCTTTAAAATAGCTTGCAATTAATACACTAACAAGAATAAAGCTTTTTATGAGCTGAATTCCTTAGCATTGTAAGGAATACGACTTAACTGGAGAGGTTTATTTTGACCACCGGAGGGCTCCTGCATTTTTTTCTATTACTAAATAAAAGCACTTAACAGTGGCTGGCCTCACTTAAAATTACTGAAAAAATAATCTGCAGTTAGCAAGAAATATATTTGCTTAATTTCACCTATATTTCTCCTTGGATAGTTGTGGGCAGACTGGGAAAGTACTCAACTTGTAAATTATTCATATCTAATCACAAATGCTTTCAAGTATTTTCAGATTTGCAAATTGTTTATCCATTGACATTCCAGTTGAATATCTGGTTCATGATTTGCATGGTTACTTCAGATACTAGTGCACTAAAGCCAATCTAAACTTTAAATTGTGTGTTCATTTGTATGAATTGTTTAATTTGTATCTCATTTGCCAAAAAAGTACTAATGGCCATATAAAAGGCCACTGAAGACAAAGGAAAAACTGCTGATTTGCATTGCTTCTGGATGAGGCCAAACCTGCGTATTGTTCATTCCTTCTGCAATTCCATCAGTGAGAAACAGAAAAAACATCACTACACTGTTCTTAACTGGAAAAAGCAGCCAGAATTTGCAATTTTTATATATCAACACACAATGAAATTGCTATTTTAAGGGACTGCTTCAGCTTTAAAAACTGATTTGCAAGCTTGTTCAGTATAGGAAGGTAGCCTCCTCTCAGATCTTTCTGGAAAATGAGCAGAGTTATTTTCAGAGTCCCAATCAAACATGGTGCTCTCTAGTCACTGACCCTCACCTGAAAAGCACATCACAAGCTCCCCTCAGCCTCCTTATTGGTAACATTAACACTGACATGTTCCAAGGACCTCTGCTGATTTAGAGGATCTGGTCCTATTTATGGTTTAAACCAGTTTCTTCTTGTTCCAGACATCCAGCACTTTCCAGGCCAATGGGGCCTATTGACACTGTCTGAAGCATCTCACAGGGTTTTTCTTAGGCTGCACTTGGACCTTTTTGTGGAAGACAGTGTAGCCCTAAAACCCAGTATTTTCCAATTCCAGTGTGTAAAGGTTGTCAGTCCTTTGGGATCTGCCCCTGGATTGGTGCTGCTCATACTACTAGGAGAGAAGCTTTGCTGGGATCTCATGAGGGGGCTACACCATTTCCCTTGTAAATGTAAAGTTCTTCGTAAGAACACCTTGGCTTTACCCAGTACTTAGAATCATAGAATCATAGAATAACCTGAGTTAGGATGGACCCACAAAGATCACCGAAGTCCAACCCCTGCTCCAGCACAGAGCAGCCCCAAGAATCCCACCATGTGCCTGAGAGTATTGTCCAAACACTTCTTGAACTTTGTCAGGCTTGGTGTTGTGACCATTTCCCTGGGGAGCCTGTTCCAGTGTCCAGACATGCTATGGGTGAAGAATCTTTTCCTAATATCCAACCTAAACCTCTGCTGACACAAGTTCATGCCATACATGCCATACTCGCAAGCTACGCTTATGAAATAGACCTTTGGCAGGCATTTTTCAATTGAATGTTGTATGATTGGCATCATTCATATGAAAGAGCCAAGTTAAATATGTCAGGTTGACAAAAATCTTCTACTACAAATTAACAAACTACTTCATGCACTTCTGATGAAAGATGAATGTCCCATACACCTTAAAATGAGAGGTTGCTGGGAGCCTCAGGAACTAAACCCCCTATGTTCTCTGATTAAACACTGGATCAGTAAATATTTATCAAAATTAGACATCCAGCCCATAAGATAACTGAAACAACAGAATATCTTCTCCAGTAGAAGATCGGTAGAATAGGGACAAATTAATTCTCATACATATTTTTAAAAATTTATTATGGATCTTTAACATTTTTCAATATTCTGAAGAACACAGAACAAGACTTATCCTCCTTAGGCTTTCATTCTGGAGGAGTAGCACTTTCTAAAAACAATGCACAATATAGTAATGAATTCTCTGCTTTCTCCCATTTTCACTCAAAATCTGTAATATTTGTCAAAACTTTCACACTGATTTGGAGTTACTTAAGGAAGGACTCTTACCTTAAGCCCATTTATCTCTGGTATGGGACACATTTGTGGTTCTGGTAGCATGATCCAGCTGCTGCTTTGAAGCTCTAGCCCACTGCCCATGGATGCAATGAAACCTGTGAATCTGCAGGATAAAAGAGATTGGCAATAGCCAAGTCGTTTGTAAGTTTTGAGGACTCTGCAGCATTTTTCCTTTTGGACTACAGGAAGTTCTTCTCACCATCTGTGTTAGTCTGGTCCAGATCTAAGCACAGAGGAGAAGTCTGGATCCTGCTACAGAAGGAAGTTTTCGCAGTGGAAATGGGCAGCCATAACTTCCTAGTGGTAGTTTGACTCTCTGGTACACATGCTCTGGATTTGCTTTTTCTCCTCTGGAAAATGATCTCCAGATTGCTTCCTCTCCTCAGGCCATGCTGCCTCAGCTCACTGCCCAGAGATTGCTGAAGCACAGATTGGACAGCACTGACTTAAACCACGGTGAGTTTTCCTCACAGAAACTCAACCATAAAAAGCTGCATCTTATGCTTAAAAAAATTCCTCCCAATAGAAAGACCTGCCTGGCTCACCTTTTGGGGTCTTTTTTTTCTCCTCAGACAAATACAACAATTCCCACCCCAAAATTGCCAAAATCATTGAAAGTTACCTTTTCCGGGTTTGGATAAACTTTTGGAAAAAAACTCCCAACAAAATAATTTTCCAAGTGATGGTTGCTAGGTTTTATTTCAGTCTGTCAGATCCAGGGCATTGCATGGATTGCACCTGCTTATAGACCATGCAGGCCCACAGGTCCTGTGCAACTTCACTGAAAAAACAGGAGTGCCCCAAGGGATGCAAGACTGTTTTCAGCATCATCACATTCTTCCCAAAGGCTCTCATACTGGTGACAATCGTGTGTATGAGCTGAATAAAACACAAATATCTGCAGTGACAGCAGGCAGAGAACACTGTCACTTACTCTCAAAAAGTGCACGCAGCTACAGCTCAGGTGGAAGAACTGAGCCTATAACCCCTGCACAGGCTATTCTGATCCCTTCTCATCCCATGTCTTCGGTGTTAGCAATCCTGTTGTATGCAACACACTCTCCTATTTCACTCCTCTTTTTAATTATGGTAGTAAAGGTTTACCCCTGAATTAAATGTAGTTAGGAAAGCTTCCCACTGTCGTGGAAAAGAACCCCTCCGTGTTTTGTATCACTAATACGGTTAATTTGCAGGGTCCTTTAAGAGCAGCTGCTAGTTTCATGTGTCAAACGACTGCCACACAAAAGAGAGTGTGGCAGTGAGCTGTGGGTTTTGCTGACACAGCACACTGTTTCAACTGAAAAAAAAGAAATAAAAGGAGCAGTTTGAGAAACCTGACACTAGCTGTTACCTTTAGAAATCAAAACTTGGCAAAATAAAGGCAAGCATACATATTACTTTTTTTTTAAATGAAATATTGTTAGGTGCTATTGGAGACACAAGTGATCAGCAAGTCCTTCTGAAGGAACATCTGTTACAAAGGAGAAGAGAAGGCAATAGAGAAGGTGCCATTTTAATATCACTATAGTAAACACCTAATGCACCGTAAACTGAGCAAGTCATGCGGTAAAACATGAAGAAGCTCTTTTTTAATCATCTGAATAGAAATTTAATATCTTTGCATTTGCTAAGTAAGGCAACTTGCCCAAGCAACCGGATACACAAAGCTTTAAACATTTATTCTGCCTTTGTGGCTATTGAACAAAGCTTCTAAGTCATAAGCATTAAGGCTGGTATTTACTAAGCAGTTGCACACGAGGACTCATTAGAAATATTAGGGTATCCAAAAATATAAGAAAACTTGAGAAATCAAATAGCCACATATACAGTAAGCCAAAAAAAAAAAAGTCCATGAGCATTTCCAGTAGTTCTTTCTTCTCAATTCTGAGGTCCAACAGCTAGAATCAAGTCCCCAGGTCGGCCCCAGCTGTAAAGCACTGAGCAAGAGCAGCACAGACTTAGGTCACACTGTGAGGAATGGAGTGTGATTTGTGAGGGAATGATATGCTACAGAAAGCCTTTGCTACCAAACCTGCCCCCTGTTACTGAGCTGTTCCAGAGCTATGGGAAGAACAGGAAAACAATAAAAAATCCCTATGCATTACCACCCAGGAAACACATGAACTTTGGTGGTTCTGTCTAAGTATTGTATTGGTGCTGTCTGTCAGCTTCCAGGAGTCCACAGTCCTTCACCCTGGCTCTTTTTAAAGGATGGTTTCAGAAGTTAAGAGTACTGTTACTGTGCAATTGAGATTAGCTCCTTTGGTTAGAGCATGGTACTAATAACACCAAGGCTGGGGGTTTGATCCCTGTATTGGCCATTCACTTAAGAGCTGGACTCAATGAGCCTTCGGAGTCCCCTCCAACTCAGAATATTCTGTGATTCTGACCTACATATTTTGGTTTTCTCTTTCTTTTCTGCTCTCTTGGGGGGAAAAGTGGCCTCTGTCAAACATCACGGTCACACTAATGTAGTAAAATTCCAGGCTGGGAAAATTAAAATCAATTTGGTGGTCAAAATGGAGTAGCAATAAAAAGGCTCATATTCAATATACCAGAAAAACTCTCATGTTGCAACAGCAAGACAGGTTTCCATAAGCTTTTTGGCACTGCTGCACCACTGCAAGCACTACAAGAGGAAAAAATCTTCCAAGAAGCCTGCCAAATATACAGGCACCATCTCACAACCCTGGGGATAAAGGCAGAACCAGATCTGCGGGTCTTCATGAGGCAGCAAATATTTCCAATGCTCAGCACTCCACGATGAATTAGAAACCCTTTTATGCAATATCTATAGAATTAGTTTTGCAGAAAATGAGAAAATCTTCCCTTGGGGAAGATCTGAGAGGAAAGAGGGAGATGGGCCATTTCCCAAACCCAGGGCATTTGCTTGGCACAGGGCTTCCTAAATTCAAGTTTCTGCTTTGAGATGGGCACCTGAAAGAAGCATTTTGTCTTTTAATGGTCTGAGCAGCTCTGCATGGTACACATTCACTGTACAAGGTACACAGTACCTCTTCACCTACACCACTTGTCTACAAATTCTCATACTCTTGTCATTTTTCTTTAACTGCTCCATTTTTACTGAGTGTTTCTACCCCCTCTTTGTTTTTCTCATTAAATTGAGAGCTCTCAAGAAAGAATTATCCTTAATTACAGCTCCTAACACAGTGAGTTGTTGATATGGATTCTTAACAATCATAGATAGTACAATATTCGTTAATGGAACATAAGTTGGTTTTACCAATCACCATGCTGCCATATGCAACTGCATTGTTCTAATATTCTAAATGCTCTGGGCCAAATACAAGAACCTAACTGGTGCCTGTGTGTGTCTTTGATAACTACACATACAGACAGTGTAGAGGGAAGGGCTATGTTTAATCATTTTACAGGTGGGAAGTGAGGCCCAGAGAAGCCCAGAAGACAGTCTCAGGGGATCAGTGGCACCACATAGAACTGGTTTCCACACATCAGGCTAATTAATGCTTTGAGAAAGAAAAAACACTTTCCATGCCAGCAGGAACATGACATCCTGCATTCTAGCAGTTATGAATTTTGTTCCCAGTGAGGCTTGTAAAATGTAAATTCCTGGTAAAACACATGACCTTTCCTGTCATATTTGTGAATAAGATTTTATGTATCCTTTTTATGAATAGTTCCTGCCATTCTCTTCACATCCTGACTCACAGGTACAGCTTTCCTTTAATATCTTTATTTGTGCGTTAAGGCTATAATCTGTTCTTCAGAAAGTTTACGTATATACACACCCACACTTATATATGTGGGTGCAAATACATATATATATATACACACATATATATGTAACAGATGTATGCATCATATGGAACAAATGCAAATGAACACATAGTTTTGACTCTTCTCTCACTTTGTTTGCCAAATAGAGAATTACTAAGACACAGTAGTTTCATGACTTGAAAGATGAGATCATGATACTGCTATTTCTGCACTTCCAAGGAGAGTGCAGGTGTTTCAAAGCATTTATGAAATTGCATGATTGACTCATATAGAAATCTATTGACAATAAGTTGAACCTTTGCAGCTAGGCTGTAAAAGATTCGATTATAGTAACAATAGTAACCGTCATGAATGTCATAAATCTTAAGAGAAAGGACACATATGTCACATATAATGCATGAAAAAGTTGTCCTTTTATCATGGATAACTTACCATTGTGTAGATACTCTGCTGATCAGCTACTGCATTATTTGAATAAGTATCTGATGTCTTGTTTTCTTTCAAGGAGGCAGGTGCAGGATGAAGCAGGAAGCCTGCCAAGATAGATGATAAATTGCCACTTGGTGCTGGGGACCAGTGCTTAACATTAATGCAATGCTGCCAGGAATTAAAGCAGTAGAGTAATAAGAAACTAGGAAGAAAATAACTTCTCACTCCCCATTAAACAGATTGGCTCGATTTTCTTTATGCATTAAAATTCCTAGTACATCTAAAAGAAACATTGTCATTGTCTCATTATAAGCAAAATATAATAGGATTGGAAAACATCCTATGACTGACAAGCCATAGGACTATATAATAATGATACCAGTTGCTTCTCTGCTAGAGGAGCAATCTTGAAGCTAACAAGTTAAAATAAAACTATAAAGAAAAATAATTGCAAAGAAGTATGGCCTAGATTTGGAAATCCCTAGCCACTTTGGCAAGTGTCAGTCCTTGGCTGAACTGGGTCATTCAGTAAGTAGATGATGATGTAGTCAGAAGTGGCAGAGGTGAAGGATCAAGTCTGTATGTGTAACCAGAGACCCTTTTCAGGTAGTGAAACAGGCTTCTACACACTGTAAACATACTGTGCTGCACTGTCCCCCATGATTTGGGAACAAAACTAGCCCTGCTCATATAGAGCCAGTTCAAGAAGAAACTCTGTTCAAACCAGGTATTTTAAAAATAATCTGTGTTTTGCCAGCTATGGAAAATACAAATCTTGGATTCCCTTCCTTCCCTGCATATAATTAAAATATAAATATAGATATAACTTTGGGACATCCAACCCTGATCTTATCCAAATCAGCAAGTACTAGAGAATTTTACTGGAATCAGCATTTTACTGGAATGCTGACATGTAGAAATTAACTAGGGCTGTTTTCAACATTCATCCATCGGAAAAATTAAAACTAAATTGAACAACAGATGATCGATGTAATTCCTTGTCTTGCACAACAATAACTTACAGTAATCTCTATATTTTGAAATGGGGCCATAAGTCAAACATTTCATCTTCAGAAATCTTCATCTTGATGTAGGAAACTACCTTAAAGCTATCAAGATGAAAACCATTTAAGAAACATTTTTTTCAAAGCTTGCACAAGATCTATATTCTCATCTGTATTATGTCCAGAAAAGTGCATGACGTTCATAAGGGAAGCTGAAAAGCTGTGTGCTAATTAATGTCATCTGCATTTCCTCCAGAACTATGCATCATACCTCCAAGACAGAACAATGCTGGGACAGAGAAAGACAGCTCACCATTTAGGTGTTGATTTTTCAAGTTGCACATTGCTCTGAAACAATTCATTAGCAACTGTACATTATGTCCTACCTTTACTTGTTACATGTGCAGTCTGTCTGCCTGTGCTTCAGTTTACTTTACCAAAGGCAGATTTCCTCTTTGCAAATTTGACTATACCATGATTAGTTCAGTTTCTCTCACAGTGTACATAACAGCAAAAACTCTCAAAATACATCTCAAGACAATATAATACATTTTAGAGGAGGAAGAGAGTAAGGCTGTGGGAAATCTGAGGAAAAATGTCTGAAGTTAATGTAATGAACTGATGCCTGGGAACTAGAAACTGTGATGGTACCATAAAAGAGGCAACTCATCACCATAGGAGAGGCACAAGTGTCTGCTTTCTGAGTAACACTCATACATCTTCATGATGCCATTAGCATATACACAACCAAGGAAAGCACTGGTCCTTGAGAATATGAATCACAGGTTGGCATTTCAGCAGTTCTGGAGGAAGGAGGAGTCCCCAGGTTCAGAATTTCCAATTTATGAGCCTTGCCAATAAGCAATGACAGTTAGAATGAATACAAATATCTGTTCCTAAATAACATTAATGATCTTACATCCTCAGCCACTAAGGTGTTCTCCTTGACCAGACAGACTATAGAAGGGAATAACAGATGCAACAGATTCACCGTGTTGCATCAGTGTAAAACTCCCACAGCCCAGGGGAGGTACCTGGCTGTTCCACCTGAACTTTAACATATTGAAACATTGAAATCTATGTTTCATGGGCTTCCCCCACCCGTAATGGATCAAGACTGTGACCATCACTTCAACCAACAGGCATTGAAATGGTAACAATCAAGTCACATCATTGGATTAACGGGCGGTGACGTCTTTCTACTCTTATCCTTTCTTCCTCTTTCTTTTCCTTATACATTTTCTTAAGTGTTATTTTCATGTTTTTACATTGTTATATTACTATAGATAATAATATATACATCATTAATCATTCAGTGCCATTTCACTCTAATCCACCCAAGGGATCAATTAAGAAGAACCTCAGTTACCCTCACCTTCAAAGGTGGGTCGTAACAGTCTTGTTCCAGGATCAAGTGATCCAGACCAGCATTCATTGAAATGAATGATATCATTAATATGATTCTCAGTTAAATAGTAAGAACTTCTTTCCTTCAATTTACCTATCAGTTACCCTACTAATGCTATTGATCACCCTTAAGACTTCAAACAGTAAGGTTAAAACCCAGCTGAGAATTGATTTCAATTCTCAGTCAAGCAAGAAGACCAAAAAATCCTGAAACTGTAATCCATACACATAAACTGAACTCAGTGGAACAAAGAGAAAGCAGCAACTGCTTGTTTATTGGTTTTCTATATCATATTCAAGTCTGAGAAACCTGAAAAGAAATACATACAGGAAAAGTGATGGGCAGCATCTCCTATGCTTCTAAATTAAAATATGTTATGTTGATATTTCCCATGAAAGCAGAATCAAAAAAATTTATTGCAGAGATCCATACAATGATGTGCCTTGTTTTGACATTATTAAATATTTCACAGTGATATTTCATCTTTCCATTTCTTTTTCTATGTTGTATCATAAAATAAATTATAAAATAAAGATAAGTAAGAGAACCTGGAACAAAGTACATACTTGAAGAGAAAAAAAAATCACTTTGGAATTCTTGGTTAAAATAATAAAATCAGTATGATTTTGGAAAACATTGGAAAACATTTTCAGTCAGCCCAAGTAAAAAATGCAAAGTCATTCGGAAACATTTTAGAAACTATCTAAATCCCACATAAAATATTTCAGTCAGATTCAAAGTAACTTTGCTTAGACTTTGTGCATCATCTCTTTCAGTTCATCCTTAATTCTTATATGAGGGAAATCATCCGTAAATGAAAAATCTTAATGGTTAAACATCATCATTATGATAGAAAGAAGAGATCAGAGGCAATTAATTCTCAGAATTCTCTTCACTAATTGGAAAATATAAGTCAATGCATAGGTAAACTTTTTATAGCTATGGAACAGAATATTGCAGTTATTTATTGTAGCTATTAATTTACACACTCAATTTCATTAACTATTTAGAAAACAACAAATAAAAGATTGCAGAGTATAACATCTGAGACTAACCATACCTAGAAAAAGGGATAAACTTTTGACTTGCATGTTTGGATACAGGGCTACAAGGACATTTTAACAGTTTTACCTTATCTCAGCAGCATCAAATAAATCAGTACTGAACTAAGACAATTGATAAGAGAGTTTTATGCTGACTTACATAATAATGAGGATGAAAACTTATGTGTTGACCCTTTTGTTTGAATCTAGTCACATAAGTGTACTTTGTTGGCCAAAACACTCTACTAACTATAGTAGATTTTGATTCCTACAATTTCATGCCCTTTAATGGGATTTTCCTTATTGCTTTTAATTTTATAGCATCCTAACATGTTTACAGTAAAAACTTGAATAAATAAATGTGGACTTAGAGACTTAACTTTGAAATTTTGTTCATTGATTTTAAACCTTGGTGAAGAATGCACTCACAAAGTTCTATAGTCTCTGCTAGTATGTCACAGGTTTTATGAGCAGGAATCAGCAGAAAAACATACCTAAAAGGTATGACTGCCTTGTTAGATATGTCATTTTTTGCTGGGATGAAGAAGAACCTGTGTATGAACGAACATCTCCAAGTTCATTAAAGGCCTCTTTTCATCTACTAAATTTGGATGTTAAGAGTATCATCTCACTCATGGGACCAAAGAATGCAAAAAGATATGAAACACTTCCATTAGATTAAAGTTCAAACAAAAATACATTCAGGTGATGGTATTCAAAGTTTCATAAAGCAAGGAGATATCAAATGTTTTGACCAGAAAGCAGCTGTCAGGCACAACCCTGATGCTCTCACCTATTGCTTAACTCAGTGCTCTAGAGCTGGTCTGACAAATTA